TTGGGAGACGGACGGACGGACCTGCCTAGCATGTGGTACCAGACCTCGTCCACCCGTGAACATCGACATCTCCACCTCCGTCGAGTAGAGCCCCCCAGTTGCTGCCATCGAGCTGGCTCGTAGGGGGAAAGCTTGTGATGGCGTGGGCAAGATCAGCCTTGATCTTGGAGAGGTCGGCAGAGGAGTGCATGATGGAAAAGAGCAAGGAGGGTGGACGATGATTGGGCGCTTAGGCGGCGTCCGAAAAAGGAAATGTATGGGCGCTTAATTCGGCGCGCAGCGACGTGGCACCTCAGAGGGAAGTGGAGGTGGCACAGAAGGGAGTAGCTGCTCAAGGAAATAACCTCAAGCAGTGGGGGAACGGAAAGGAGAGGATGAGCTCAGTTGGAGGACTGAGTTTGAGAATGAAGAGAGAGGAAAGCAAGCAGTGGAAAGAGAGAAAAGGAAGACAGCACCAGTTTTGAGCTTTGGGGTTAATCCAGCGGGACAGGGCTCATAACCTGTCGGAACTGGTGCACTAAGTCGATGGAGATATCGAGCAGATATCGAACAACAAGCTGGCAGACAAGCAGCAAGTGGGTAAAGCAAGTAGATAGCGGTACAAGGGAACCTGTGTCTACAGTACAGCAGCGAGCTAGCACCCAGGGAGGACCCCGGACACCAGAGACCCCGAGTGCGGGCACAGGCGCCCACCACTCGTTCCAACAGGTGAGTCGCCCACTGCGAGCAGGCTGCAAGTCCAGGTCCAACGGTCTAGCACTTCAAAATGATCATATGGCGTCGGAATTGTGCGCGTCATGCCGGAGAGGTCGCCTAGTACTCACAGAATAAGAGAGAGGCGGCTGCGCAGCCGCATCGTTGTGATGTTGAGAAGGAAAGACTCGAGGGCTCGGGGAGTGTCTGTGAGAGCCAAGTCTATCGCTGGGCTGGGTGCAGGAGCCGACACGCACCGTAATCGTGAACGTGCGGAGCGCGGGGCCGAACCGTAAGCGTGAGAGGGTCCATATGTTGCTGCACCAGCGAGAGGTCGCGAAATCGAGTGGGTGGGCGTCGAGATCTCCCTGGGGTGCCACTGGATCTTGCCGTGCAGAGTTTGAAGCGCTGCCAGGCGTGTTAGGAACTTCGAAACGCAGAACTAATGCACAACGTACCTTACAAATGCCCCACAGAGCTCGTGTCCGCGATCTCGAGGCTGCGCACGCCCTGGGAGGCCGCCGCACAGCCGTACAAGTCGAGGCAGGCGGTACGCACAAATTGGCGCCCATGCGCTGCCCACAACTCGTCCAAGGACGACACCTGCCGTGCTTCTCTCTCCCGCCCCGCCACCATCTCAACTGCTCTCCCCTGGCTTGCCTGTACCTCGTGGTCTTGCCCCGCCCCTCAGTTCGTCTTGGCTGGCGGCTGCTGGCAGCTTGCGGATTTCTCGGACTCCGGCGACACTCTCGGTGTTCTCAGCAACTGGCTGGGTGTGCTCGACGACTGGTTGTCTGCGCTGGGTGACTTGCTGGCTGCGTGACACGACTGGATGTTGACCGCCTGCGACGGCCTTTTGCGAAAAGGATAGCATCTTGATATGGCAGTCAGGGCTAGCTGCGCCACATCGGAGTGGGCCGTGTCAGCGGCTGTACGCCGGCCGTTCCCGCACCCTCGTCGCGTATGGCTGCATCGTCGTGTCACACCCCTGTGCTGGCTGCATGTCAACGCCGTGCACGATGCTACTGACAGTTATGCAGGTGAATGCGAAGTTTGCAAACAGAACAGCTGCATGCTCACCTGTAGACGACCCCGTGCGCACGCCGGCCCAGGCGGCCACATGTTGGCAGCTGTGACAACGCACCACACTGCGACACAAACTGCGGCCGCCCTGGTGAGTCTCGAGATTTATGGGGATAGGTAGAGTGGGTGCTTACCTGGCTGCACGAGGTTGCGTGTGCACCCATACGTCCTGTCACCCTCCGCACACGCACAAGCATCTGCCGAGACCCTGAACTGCCCGCCGCCATGCCTGCTGCGCGCCGCCCCCTGCCACATTCTCTGGAGACTCACAGGTAAGCGCTAGGACTCGAAACGAGCTCTCGACGTGTATGCCTACCTCACTGGTGTGGTTCCCGGCCCCCCATGCCCCTAATGCATTGCCGGTGCGCGTACCCGCCGCAAAACACCCTCCCAAGCGCCCAGACGCGTCCAGTACATTTGCACACTGTCGTTCTGCGTGTCGACACTGTCAACGCCCCTTGAGGTGAGTAATACAGCCGAATACATCAATGGTGGGGGCTCGCTTACCTGATGATACCCCCAGGATGAGCTCGCGGGAGGTCCCGGCCGCCGTCCCGCTACGACGCTGCCCACCATGTTGCCCCGCACCCCCTACACCCTCTGCCACGTCCTCCCGCTACCCTCAAACTCGCGAAACCCCGCCCTCGCTGTTCAGCGTCGAAGTACGCGTCCGTGAGCTGTATGTAGCGTCCGGGGACGTGTGGACGTCAAAAGGACGTGCCGCTACACCCCGGACGGCGCTGCAGCTCTTGTACGCCAAGTCTGGACGAGACCGGACACGTCCTTGCTCGTGGGCGCAAAGTCTATCTGGCTGCATCCCGGGCATCCTGGAACACCGAACTTGCCCACAGGTGCAGTCGCCTCGGCTGGGTGTCTGGGCGCGACTTCCGCGGTGTGGAGCATGAGCGGGCGAGGGGCGCGGCGGGCGATCAGCGCGGGCTGGGTGTTACAGCCCATAAGCGACGCGGGCCCCGTATATACACGTGGGGCTCACCGCCGCTCCGTCCCCGTCCTCTGTCCCTCGTCCTGCTCTTCCTCCTCTGCTCGTCGCCCTTCCGCCTGCTTGTGGCCGCTGCCCGTCGCGCATCGTTGCTGCGCAGGCGGAGGGTCCGCCACATTGCCCCTGCCGTGGTCCCTACTGCGGTAAGTCCGCGCATCGAGCCCCCGCACATGACTAACGAGCTCCTACAGCGGCAGAACTGTCAGTCCCAACCCGAAAACGAGGTGGCGTGCGAGGTACGTACCAGAGAGGTCCGCGTTGTGGACACCCCGCCGCTGACGTTTCCGCCCACCCAGCCCGCCGCGGCTCGCCGACCTCGTAGCTTCGTGTGCACGAGCCCGAACATGGTGAGTGTCCGCTCGTTTCGTGTGGCGTACGGCTGACTGACTCACCAGAGATGCAGGGCTGCGCCAGGACGTCAAACCGAGGCCGCGCAGCGTAGAAGGAGTGGGCTAGTGCGACGACGCGCAGCGGGTGAGCGGGAGGACACAGGACGGGTTGTATAGTAGTTGTGTGTATTCGATAGGTACTGTAGTAGTCGAGGGGCGCAGTAGTCGTCATGCGGCGGCGCCGCGAGCGCGTACACTGGTCTCCCGACGCGAATGCCTGTTACGTGGTGCGTCAGTTCGTCTAAATGCGCCCATATACCTGCTGACTCACAGGTGTTCGCGCAGTTTGGCGGGTGCCACCGGCGATGGGAGGCGATTGGGGGCCGCTGGCGGTATGCCGAGTGCGCAGGTGCCTACAGGCCCGGTAAGTGCGCCGAGTTGCGCGTAAACTCTCGTACATACCCACGACATGTCATGTGAACGATTAACGAGGGAATCGCGGCGTTTGGAGTGGGTGGAGGCCGGCGAGCAGGTCCGCGACGTAGGTCGTCAGATAGGCGCCCGTACGACGTCGCAGTGCGCGGACGTCTGCGCGGGGGATGTCACGGCTGGTAGGGCTTGTAGTCGGTCTTGTAGTAGTCGTAGGGTATCGTAGGAATGGAATATGTTGTCCTGGAACGAAACCAGTGTGAATTAGTGAACGTACAAGCAAGTTAGATAAGCAGGGGGCGTACCTAGATCAATATCGTAAAGCAGCGGTCTGCAACAGCCTTGGGGGCAAGTGCGACGTCTTGGAGAGCATGCAGGATAGTCTGACATGTGTGTGTGTACGTGTGGTGGGTGTTCGCGGTCTTCGGCGCGGGAGGAGAGCCTGTAGAGCACAGCAGTCAGCACACAACCCTCGAGAGCGACAGAATGCTCACCGGGTCTGTACGCAGGCTGTATGCCTGACGAGGTGTGCTGGCTGTGCTGTCGAGCGTCGCAGCTGTCCGTGTTAGCCGCGCAGATCGCGCGTCGGCGATTGGGACCGTGGTGAGCCCAGATGCGCGTTTGCGAGCAGCTGCGCGGATCGCTTGCGTTCTTGCGGGACCCTGTAGACGTGAGTGCTCTCAGTCGATCCCAGGACGTTGAATACGAGGCCAGTACTTGCCAGTTCTTCCCGCTCGCGGCGCGTTGCGGGCGCGGGGTCGAGCGATGCATGATGCGCGCGAGATTTGCGGCTCCAAACGGTGTCGTCTTGCTAATACAGAGGTACGGATCAAATGCTCCATTAACAGACAGAGCCCGGACGTACCGGCTGGCAAGCCCAGCCTGCTGCCCAAGAGAGGGTGCGGCGGGCACCTATTCGAGCGAGGGAGGCGTCGCACTTGGAGCTCCACAGAAGGGCGTCCAAGCGGGCTACAGACGTCCAGGACGTCGAGCAGGGCGAAGGAGAGGGCGCTGTGCAAGTCCCAGAGCCGTAGGGACGTCCTAGGCGTGGTCGGGTCGTCTAGAGGGGTGCTGTATGGCGCCAAGCTTTCTGGCAGGGTCGAGGATGCGGGAGAGGGTCGTCGTCGGGTGTGAGCAGCGAGCGCAGCGGGAGAGGAGGTGTCCGTGTGGCCGTCCAAGAGGGACAAGGCCATGCAGGAGAACGGTAGGCGGAGCGAGGGCATGCAGATCGAGGTCGGGCCTCCAGCCGAGGAACGAGCGCTGGCCTGCAATTGCATGGGGCGGGCGAGCGAGGCGAGACCGAGCTTGGCCAGAGAGCACAGAGACGCGAGAGAGAACGAGCAAGAGAGCGAGGCAGAGCGAGAGAGAGAGAGAGGCAGAACGACAAACGACGTCATTCGCAGACCAGCGCGATCGAGATAGACGCCCGTTCGATGCGACCCACGTGGGGCAATCGCTCCTCCATCCCTGCTTCTTTCTCTCCTGCCTCCTCCTCGTTCTGCCGCTGCTGCTCGCCATGGGCGACGTCCTGGTCCCACCTGAGATCACCGCCGAGCTCACCCAGATTCTCTCCAACCTCGTCCTCGGCGACAGTGCCATCCGCACCAGGCAAGTCCTCCGCTCCGCATCGATCCTCTCCTCTCCCTCTGCTAAACGCGTCTGCCTCCGCAGTGCAGAGAAGGCGGTCAACGACCGCCTCGAGCAGACCCCGGAGCTCTACCTGCTTGCGATTGCCCAGTTTGCCACCTCTGCCAACACCAAGCTCGTGAGTTCTACGCATTTCCTTGCCCGTACGCGTCCGACTGCGCCCCCAGATGCGCTCCTTCTCTCTCATCCTCCACCACCGTCTCCTCTTCCGCCCACCCTCGCCGAACCGTCTCGTGCTCTACGACCAACTCTCCGCACCCGCCATCGCCACCCTCGAGCGCATACTTCTCCACTCGCTCCTCCATGAACCCGCGCCCGTCGTCTGCCACAAAACGGTCGACACCGTCACCGATCTCTCCAACTGCCCCATGAAGCGCGGCCGCCCGTGGCACACATTGCAGTAGCAAGTGTTTGCTATGGCCGACAACACCGATCTCCACACTCGCGAGGCCGCTTTCCGCGTCTTCACCGGCTGTCCGAACCTCATCATGGACCTGCAAACGGACGCTATCCTTGCTATCTTACAGAATGGGCTGCAGGACCAGCAGAGCACCGAGGTGAGTTATTCGACTCTCGCGCGACCTTCCCTGCCCTGGCGCTGTCAGACTTTCTGCGCGGCTGAACAGGACTTCTCGATATCTACCGGGGTTCGTTGCACCAGCCGCAACTTTCCACATCTGATATCTCAGAAGCACCTCCCTTCTCCAACTCAGCTGCCAGTGACTCGACAGGCTGTGCACCTGGGGCTCTATCGCGCGGTCGCGTGCGTACTTCTGGTGCGCGTAGGATGTCTGTACGCGCGTTCCGTGGGACGCTGTCGCGCATACGGTGCCGCCCGATGTGCGTCCTGGCAGGGTTGTCCGTCACGCTCACGCCGCCGCATACGTTCCTTAGACAAGCATTTGACTCGCACTCGCTACCACCTTGTCGTGACAACACGAGTGCGTACTTTGAGTACGTGTGCGCGTGCCCGCGAATACGGTAGCGCAGGTCTGCGTCCACGACCGTCCATGTAACTCTGTGGCGGCATCTGAGATCGACCAGGGGTACCTGCCGTCGCGCGCGCTCGCCCTCCACGTCCACGTCCAGCAGCTGAGGGGTAACCCTCGCAGGACGCACCCGGCGAACATCAACGCATGCGAAGCCCGTGCAAGGGTGTTCTATCCTAGCTCCTACGCGCCCGGCTCGAAGGTGACTCTGCGCCCGGGGCCGCGGCGCCCTGCGGCTGAATGTGGGCGCTGGGATCGCCAGTCGGGTGGTAGATAGACACAATATATCTCGTTCTCGAGCATTGCAGGGACTTGTGTGTGCGCGGACGGCGGGCGAGCGGCGTGTTCCGGTTCGTGCATGGTCGTTAGCGAGTGCACGTGTGCAGACGACCGCGACGAGATCAACGGATTCTGCGTGTGGAGTGGGGCTCTGGTGGGGACTTGGTGCAGGGGGAGGGGGAGGACTTGGCACAACGGTTGAAACTCGCACTTTCGCCGTCCAAATCGCATTGTATTCCATCGTAGCGTACTCGTAATGTACAGGGGCAACGTATCAAGCCGGGCCGCGCAAAACTACAAGCTGTAGAGGGGAAACAAGTCCAGGGGAGCCCCTCCACGAGAACACCTCCCGAACACTCAAAACATCTCCAAATCGCGCGATTCAACGTTTGCCGTGTTGTACTGTGTCCAGGGCACCATGCGCATCCCTGCGCCGCGCGCGTCGTCGTGAAATCATGCGAAAATCGCACAGAGCCCAAGGGACTCCCCGTGGGTGCAGAGTCTGCCTGGCCGCGCCCCTCGTAGGCGTCCTGGCATGCCGAAAGTGGGTGCACTCGTACACCAGTGTCGTTCCGTGCCGTGGAGTCCGTCCCGACGCGGCTGCGCAGCCGCAAAGGTGCGGAATCACGGGCGGGGGCATCTGGGGGCGCAAGGTCCGGGGCTCGCACGCTCTCAGGACGTCGTAGTCCGCTAGGATCGCGTACAGGGAGTGCTTGGGGTCGGCTGAGCGCGCACACATTGCTTATAGGGTGCACTGTCAACAGCGAGGGCGTCGGGAGCACCGGAGCTCGCTGGCAGCCACAGACTAGCACAGAGCGCTGAGAATGCGCCGTGGGACGCCGTAATCGCGCGCAGAGCTCGCCGAGTGTGGTGGGAGTCCAGTACAGACGTCCGGATGAGGCTGCACTGCCGCGAAGTCGCAGAATTGAGAACAAGGGCTTTGAGAGCCCGGGGAGCGGAGTCTTCCCTCGGCCCCCAAGCAGGCCGGCTGAGGAGTTGAGATCGCGCGTATGCAGTCTCCAGAGCTGTCGGGTGTCGATACAGTGCATGTCGCGCAGGTGCGGTAATGCGTTGTGGAGGAATCAAGAGGGAAGGCGGTGGCCGGAGGCTGTGGACGCGAAACCCTCTGCCGAGGGCGTCGCAGGAGGCGTAGGACACTGAGATCGCGCGGAACACCTTCTAGGGGTCGTAGTATGTCGGTAGAGCCCGCGTCTCGTGGGTGCGCGGCCGTAAGCTCGTGGAACCGCAAACGGAAGACTCCAGGGCCTCAGCACTGGCTGTGGGAGCAGAGCCCGGCCTCGGACCGTGAGGAAGACGGCTGGAGACCCGAAATTGCGTGTACGCGGTCTCCATAGTCGTGGAGTGTTGATATGGTGCGTGTTACGCAGCTGCGACACCGCGTTTGAGCGGAATTGAGAGGCCGGGCGGCGGGAGCTCGGGATCTGGCTGTGGACGTCAACACCTGTGCCGAGCACGTTGTAAGAGTCATGAGGCGCCGAGATCATGCACGCAAAGAGTGTGAGGCCGTACCGTACTCGTGAGACTGACACGATGCGGCTGGGTTTCGGCGAAATCGCGAGGGAGAGTGTAGGAGAGGGCGTTGCCGTGTGGCCGCACAAGCCGGCGCGAGATTCGACTGGCCAGCCATGCTTTAGTGCTGCCTGCCGCGACTGCGGACATCCCTTCACACGAAGGTGAGTGTCTTGTTCTGCTACTCGAGAGGTCGTCCGGACATCAGCGGCTGTACGCCGACATGTCCCCGTGGCTGCTTCATTGTGTGTTTCCCGCATGCTGTCCGCGCATTCGCGCTACTGACGGCTGCAAAGGTAAGTAACAAGTCTGCGAATGGAACACGAATATGTGCTCATCTGTAGACGATCCTGCATGCCCTTCTTCCGATCCGCGGCCACGTATTGGCGATTTTGGAGACTGGCAGCCTGTCAATCCCGTGAGTCAGCAGGGCACTCTCGATGCGAGACGACTGACACTCACTGTGCTTGTGCACCTCCACAGGCGTCTAGATGCGGTATGCAGCTGCCTGGAAGCACGGACTCGTCAGCGGTGGCCCGTACCCGACGAGGACCAAATCAGCGCATACCTCGCGCCGAGCATCGCGTCCTCCGCGATCCTGACTGTTTCGCATTTGCAGGGTTTCGTTAGACGTGCACGAGCGGCGCGTGCACGGATTCACCGCAGCCGCAGGAGTCGCGACGCCGCACGCGGCCGGCTGCAAGCGCGAACCCGTCAGCAGGAGCCCATACGCGGGAGGACGAAATGGGTGCAGGTTAGAGGCATCTCCACGCGGTATACGACACACTGCGCATGCGAAAGCATCAGTGGCGGTATCTACGTGACGTGGACTGTCCTGGTACGTACCTCGCTTTGAAATCTGTGTCCTTGCACATCCTCATGGCCCTGTAGATGTACGAGCTTGTTAGCGGTGCACAGGGATGGCATTACGCAGGCTTACAGACCACCCCACCTTAATAAAGACCTCCCCTTGACGCAGAGTTTAAAGATCTTGTTGCGGCGCGAAATGCAGAGCGCGTATGCAGAGACCTGAGAGAGAGTGGCAGAGCAAAGCAGAGAGTACAACAGAGAGAGCAGGAACGAGGACGAGGACCGGCAGCTGCCCGGTCTTCTCGGCCTCAATACCGGGCCGAGCACGTGGCTGTGCTCTGTCGGCATTTGCCGAGGTCCATGCTGGCATGCCACCTCAGCATCTTGTCGTCGCCCTTGTTTCTGCTCCACTACACATCCACAGCTCACAATTCGGTAGGTCTTCTGCTTTACAATGATTCCCTCATCATTGAAGTGCTTTTACAGGCATGATGGCCGATTTACAGGATAAACAGACCATCTATCAATATCCTGAGTTCCAGCAGTTCGTCGATGCTATCCTAGCAAATCAACCTTGGAGAAAAGACGATAACGAGGACGAGCTGATGCGGTGGCTGCTGGGCATGAAGATGACAATAGTAAGCCAGCTGATCTTGTTGATCTGTTGTTTGCTAACTACTGTGGTAGTACTCGGGCACCCATGTGTGCGATGCTGACTGTGTTTGCGACACACAGTTCAACATGTTCTTTCAACACATGGAGGACATGTCCATGTTAGACGGCATCGCAGGGAAGTTCATCCTCGAGTACACCATGGTCACCCGTCAGCGCAAGATTGTCGCCTTCAAGAATGCTGTCGCCCACTGCAAGGTGGCGCTCAAAGTCGAGACAGACCGCACCATAGCATCCTTCAAAATTGGGATGGGTGAAAGGGATAACGCACTGGTGAACTGCATTGCCGCCCACAAACGCAGTGTCCAGGATGTGGCTGCAGCTGGTATCAAGCTCGGGAGAGCTGAGCAGTCGCTGCGCGATGCAGAGAGCGAATGTGAGTGCCTGCTATACACTGAGTGCTTCCCATGGGCTGATGTTCCATAGATTCACGCCTTATGAAGTTGCAGTCATTCCGCCCCTGGGCAGGCCAAGTCCGCGCCGCTGAATGGGATGCAAAGATCGCAGCAATAGGCAAGCCGTGGGTTGAGATTCCGGTCGGGAAGTAGATTGGGAGATGAAGTAGCGGGTTTGGTTCATTGTGTGGGTTGGTTTGACAATGGTTAAAATATGTCGTTCTCTACTTCGCTGCGTGGCGTGCGGGGCACAAACGCTCGAACCGCACCAGGGCGTGAGCTGGCCCGTTTGCTGCCCCGGTGCGTGGCGCCGACACTCGAACCGCACCAGGGGCGTGAGCTGGCCCGTTGGCTGCCTCGGTGCGTGGCGCCGACACTCGAACTGCACCAGGGCGTGAGCTGGCCCGTTTGCTGCCCCGGTGCGTAGCGTGCGGGACGCCGACGCT